ATCACATGTGCCATTTCTTGTGTACGACAATGAAGGTCAGCTTTTTGTAGAAGTACTTCAATTATTGCAGCAATAATAACCTCAAAATTCATATGTAAGACATAGGTTCTAGCCCATTTTTAATTACACCCACCTACTCCTTATGCCTCGGAAAATATTTTTTGTACCTAACAGCGCGAATCTCTAAAATCTTTTCTGGTGGCCCAGCGACAATCTCAGTTGTGATCGTGGGCTCCTCATCATTTGGTACTCCTGGCCCTCATCGGTCTTCGAGACAAAAACAAAAAACAACCAGTGTCGAAGTTGAAACTTGCAACTTATTTCTAACAATCAACGTGGAACTTGGAAGCAAGAAAAAATGAACTTGGAAATTATTGCTAATTAAAAATCGACATGCAACACACACACACACACAACAAAAAAACAACGTAAAGATGTGAACAAGCTTGGAAATTAGGCATCCTCCACTAAATCTGACGGTGGGGTATTATTTAAAATTGAGATAAAATTAATATGTTAGAATTATGCACTATAATTTTTTTTCTTTTAACCAATCACACTATATAACATATATATATTTGTTATATTATATTTGACATATGAAGTCCATTTAACATAAAAAATTTCAAAAAAAAAATGTATATTGTCAAGAGCGGAGCTATAAATATTTATGATAGAGGCAAAATATAACTGGTATAAAAAAATATTTAGCCGAAATTAATACAAAAAAATTCAGTTTAAGAATAAAAAAGAAGTAAGAATCAACACTAAATTATTATGAAATAGTAAATTCAATTTTTATTTAGCCGAAACAAAAATAATTTTTTTTTTTTAATTTTAGACCAAAAAAAAGGAAAGATAATATAGGTATTACTCAAGTGGGCCAAAAGTTTTATTTTTAGTGTTGCACCAAAAATTTTGTTTTTAAAGTTGGGCTAAAAAATTTGTTTTTTTAGTAGATTTGGGTGGATTGTGATAGGTCAAATATTTGATTTTTTAATAAGTTTGAGTAGATAATAGTGAGTTGAATTTTTTTTGTTTTAAATGGATTTAATTTTTTAATTATTTTGGATAAATAATGTGAACTTAATATAAATGAGGGACACACATAATATATATGTATAAATATATATTACATATATCTAAATAATAAAAAAAAAATTAAGGTGGGCACGTACTCCTGCCTCCTTCCGCATATGTTCACAGGTTATATGAATCAATATGAACACAACACAAAAATAAATAAATCAACACGACATGACATAATACAATTAATTAAATAGATAAAATTAAAATTGACTAGTGTTCAACACAAACTCAAAATAACACAACATGACACTCCGACCTACCTAAGGGGAGTTACCCGACGGTCACTTTACTATAAATATGTATGCTTAGATGCATTACAATTCAATTTCATTTCCCAAAACCATATGGATTTGCTTTCCCATTTTCTAGCTATTGTAGGCATTTTAGCTTTAGTTGTCACCTATGGTTTAACGAGAGGTAAAGGGAATAGTTGTGATAGTAAGCGTATTGATGCCCCTGAAGTAGCCGGGTCATGGCCTTTTATCGGTCACCTCCATCTTCTAGGGGGCAAAGTGCACGTTGTGCGGCTACTCGGCGCCCTGGCCGACAAATATGGTCCAATTTACACACTCCGGCTCGGTTCTCGCCAAGCACTGGTGGTGAGTAGTTGGGAGATGATCAAAGAGTGCTTCACTACAAATGACATAGTTTTTGCATCACGACCAACTATGGCAGTAGGGAAGTGCTTCTATGACTACGCTGTTTTTGCACTAGCGCCTTACGGACCATATTGGCGTGATGTTCGCAAAATGGTCACTCTAGAGCTCTTAACGAACCACCGGCTAGAGAAGTTTAAGCATGTCCGAGCATCAGAAGTGGACTACACCATTAAAGATCTCTACCTTTTGTGCACAAGAAATGCGAGTCTTCAAACCAAGGTGGCCATAGACAAATCGTTGAAGGACTTGACCATGAACATAAGTATCAGACTACTAGCTGGGAAACGATTTTCAGCTAGCAGTGATGGGAAGAACAAGAACGATACTGAAGATTTGCATCTCAAAGAATCCATAGAGAAAGCGTTGTATCATAGTGGTGTTTTCGTGGCGTCCGATTTCATCCCAAGTCTTGAGTGGATGGATATTGGAGGGCATGTCAAGGCTATGAAGAAGGTTGTTAAGGAAGTTGACAAAGTCACTGGAAAATGGCTGGAAGAACATATTCAGAGGAGAAAAGAATGTGATCAGACTAATGGAGATGGTGACTTCATGGATGTCATGTTGTCTACCCTTCCAGAGGATGCCACAATGTCTGGCCACAAACGTGATATCATCATCAAGGCAACAACCCTGGTAATGTATATTGCTACATGCTACTTCAATATGAGAAATTGGATTATGCTGGCTGACTATGTAAAATGGCTCCCTATAAACGAATCTGACTAGAAAATAAATTAGGATCGCATCTATAAATATCATGATGTGTGTCTTTGAGATGATATAATACTAGCAGCCTAGATGTTCTTTGTTCCTTGAGATGGTGTTCTACTATTCACTAAAATGAAATCAACCCCTTTAAAACACCAAAGTCTTGCTTGATTTGCATCTTAGAAACTGTTTTTCTATTTTTAGAAATAGTTTTTGGAAGAAAAACTTTTTGACTAGTTGTTTTTTTTTTTGAAAATTGGGTAGAATTAAATAATAAGTTAGAATTGTTTTTTGTGTTTTTGAAAACAATATTTCTAGAATTTAAAAAACTCCGCCACCATCACGTCCACTACACCACACCACCAACAACACCAACACTAACATGACATTCACCACCATCACATTTTTGTTTTTATTATTTTTTAGGTTATTGTCCAACGAAAGTTTAATATTTTCTATTTTGTAGAATTATTTTTGAAATTATATAATCAAATAAGTTCTGAGACATAAAAAATACTAAAAATAATTTTTTTTAATTTTTTCAAAAATAATTTTTAAATACTATTTTTTATGATGTAAACTAGGTTCCAATGACCATAGATTGAACTTGTCCAATTTTTACAGTACAATGGTTACCGGTAACTAGGCCTAACCGTGCCTACCGTTAACTAGGCCTAACCGTTATTGTCTTTAGTTTATTATTATGTCCAATTTATATTCTGTGTAACTTTTTTTTTTTCCAGATTCTTATAATGACTGGCTCGGAAAGTACAGCTGACACACTAATATGGGCTGTCTCTTTACTATTGAGCAACCGCCAGATGTTGAAAACTGCCCAAGATGAGCTGGACGACCGAATAGGCAAAGACAGATGGGTGGAAGAATCAGACATCAAAGACCTAACATACCTACAAGCCGTAGTGAAGGAAACACTCCGTTTGTACCCACCAGGTCCCTTGTCCGGACCTCGTGAGGCCAGTGAAGACTGTTACATAGGTGGTTACTATGTCCCAAAGGGCACACGTTTGATCGTTAACCTATGGCAGCTACACCGAGACTCACGGGTGTGGTCCGATCCTTACAAGTTTCAACCAGAAAGGTTTCTCAAGGCACACGCCAATGTTACTTATAGGGGCCAGAGTTTTGAGTACATCCCATTCAGCTCCGGTAGAAGAATGTGCCCTGCGGTCACGTTTGGGTTGCAAGTGGTTCAACTGACCCTCGCTCGTCTGCTTCATGGGTTTGATATATCAACACCAATGGGCATGCCGGTGGACATGTCCGAGGGCTTGGGCCTTTCCTTGCCCAAGGCCGAACCAGTCGATGTCATCCTCACTCCTCGGCTTCCTTTGGAGCTCTATCAAAATCTCTGAAGCACCTTCATCAACCGAGAATTCTCAATATGAAGTTTATCAACACCACTATATTAACCGAGATTTCTTGTCTAGTTTATTTTCTTGTATTATATATATATATATAGATATCTAATAAATCAAGGAAAACTCCTTTTATGAAGTCTCATGTTCCCCACACACATATTCTTAATTTAGGAGGATTNAGTATATCAACACCACTATGTTAACTAAGATATATATAGATGTCTAATAAATCAAGGAAAACTCCTTTTATGAAGTCTCATGTTCCACATACACATGTTCTTATTTGAGGAAGGGTTGAAAGTCGTTAAGCAAAACACGACTCAAAACTCGTTACTCTGGAATGTCTCATTAGTTCACACTAGTAATAAATGAATTTAAATTAAGGTTTGATATAAATAACAAAATTAAAAGGTATTGTAAATAAAAAATTAATATTTAACGAATATTCTTGATAAAAAATAAAAATTTTCTAATTTTTAAAATAATATTATATGAGTTGTTATAAAATTAAATAATTTTTTATTGACACGAATCTTACATATATTTAAAATGATTCGATATAAATTTGTGGTTGTTTTAAGCAAAAAAAACTTATGTCGAACAAGAAATGGACTACAATCCAACCTTGGATGAACGTACTGTTCAATCAGACATCTGTTTGGTTACACTCGTTTTCAGCATGGTATTGAATGGTCCAATTGATTCATGGAGGTCATGATAGTCATTGAGAACACCTGTGCCATGATCCGGGGCCAATAATTCACTAGATGTTATGAATATTATGCAGTACGTTTTATTGTGTCCCTCTTATTACTTTTTATTTCAAACGAATATTTTCGAATAATATGATATGTGATTAATTTGTAACTGTATTTTTAATATATTTTATTGTGTTAGTATTTTCTATAACTAACTTTAGAATTCTTAATCACGGTTTTTTCTATTAAAGTGTTGTTATTATCAACCAAGAATCCTCAACATGAATTACATGTACCATTCGTTATGTAATACTAGAAATTGACTATAGTATCAAAAAAAAAATCGATAAAAAAAAAAGTATATACAGATTTCCCTAGTAGAGTTTCTCCAAAGCCATTTTTTTTTCCTTCATCTTTTGATTTTCAACGTCAATCAAGGAATTTGGAGGAAAATAAAATGATCCTGAATAAAGATATTACTAGACATGTAATCTTGGAAACCCATTACCTAGCATCAAGAGAGAGAGAGAGGGGAATTAAAAAAAAATTGTTATTACCCTGCTAAAATACACATCTTTGTCTACGTTGATGAAATCCCAAATTGTTGTTTGGAATAGAGACTATGTAAAATAATTTTATATGTTTTTCATTTTTTATACGGGAGAGGCGTACTACCAGTTCATCTTCCTACAAAATTAAGACTTCGTCAAATCAAAGGACATTAGTTTTTAATTTCTCACTACTTTGAGTCTTCTCTTATACATTCATATATGCCCACACCTGTTTCCTTACTAAGAGGTGAATAGGATGTTTTAGTATATTTCTCGCTAATTAATTTCAATAAATTTTTAAAAAATAAAAAAAAATATATTTGAACTCATGTATTCAGTTGATTTCACAAGAAAGTGGACAAAAATTATGTATATATTTATTAATTTTTTGAGTAATTTGGAGGGATTTGTAACATTTTCAAATCTTGAAACGTCTACTTGCAATAGAAAAAAATATTTTTTAATAGTGAGGGTATAATGGTAAATTAAACTTGCATATATTTCTTTCCTTTCACTTTTCCTTTGATACCAAACAATGAAAAATTAATTCATCCAACTTTCCATCTATGATACCAAACAAAAAGAAGAGAAAATAGTATTCTTTTTTTTAAGTATGAAAAGTCTATCTTTCGTACTTTTTCATCTTTCATATTTTCTATCATTTCTACCAAATGGACCATTATAAATCATTTTCCATATGTGTTTGTAAATGACATCAAGAAAGAAATAGAATAATCGCACCAAAATGAAAAGAAAAGCAAATCTCAATCAACATCAGCATTTTCAACTGAAGAAGCAACATCTGGCATAGAACTAGGAGTTGTCTATCATATAGAAAAATATCTCTATTCATCACATTTATAGATATTTTATTGCTATCGTGGATAATTTTATCATTGCTATATTACAACACTAAAAAAAATACCTACTGATGGTTGGATTCAGAATGCGAGCCAAATGCTTGAACTGAAGAGTTCAAGGCTTAATCAATCTGGTTCAATGAGTGAATAAAGAAGATGATGAAATTGAGATGGAGCCGAGTTCAAGGCTTAATCAATCTGGTTCAACGAGTGAATAAAGAAGATGATGAAATTGAGATGGAGCCTGATAGCTCTAGCTGGTACTATAGTAAAAACATAAACAGTGATAGATCTGAAATCGAACAAGAATCATAAGAACTATAGTTCACTAGCTATGAAGTCAGACTAATTTGGAGTTTTTGCTCTTGAAAAAATTGTATATTGCTTAGAGAACAAGAGTCAGTTATAATATTTGTCTTATGACTTTTATGATTAAGAGCCTTGGTATTTATAAGAGATAGTGTTGTTACCATCAGGTGGTTACTAATTTGTTAGAATNATGATTGAGAGCCTTGGTATTTATAAGAGATATTGTTGTTACCATCAGGTGGTTACTAGTTTGTTAGGATTTTATTGAGGGAATATTAGGTCATTTGAGTCTATATTTCATAGGCCGTTAGAGACAATGTACATTCTCTAGCATTGATGTGGCCTTCTTGAACGTGTTGTGGTGGCAATATGCCATGTACTCCAGCCTGAACATATGACAATCTTGCACACCTATGGCATGTAGAGCCTGTCACCTGTTGAGTATACTTTAGGACGAACCCTCTTGTTGAGGCTAGCTCGAGCTTGTAGGAGATTGTTTCAGCCAACTGTTTCAAGCTGACAATGTTAATCCTTTTCTGGATTTCTACGAGCGACTTAAGTGAATCTCCTTGGGTTTGTATTGGACCAGCTTGGGTTCCTTTCCTCGGATGGTCCTTGTCGTATGGCACCGTGTTGGTCCAATTTTTTGACCAGATTGATGGTTATAACCAAAGTGAAAAACATAAAACATAAAGATGTAAACAAACTTAATCATCACCGTGTTATAAATTTCTTTGCTCCAGATAGCCTCAAAGGTAATCAAAATATTCCACTTCATTTCCAGGACCCAGATAGGTTTTCTTTCCCATTTTTTTGGCAACTGAAGGCTTTTTCGCCTTACTGATCATCACCTAAAGTTTAACGAGACCTAAAGCAAATGGTAGGGTTTGTAAGAGTTTCTGAGCCCCAGAACTGAACCATCCGGGGCATGGCCTTTCATAGGTCACCTCCATCTTGGGGGGGGGGGGGGTTCAAAATCCAGTTGCCCGGAAACTTGGAGCCATGGCAGATAAGTAGTGCAATGCTGCATATTTGAAGATCACTTGATACAATGTCTTGTGAATGAACTTTTAGTATCCAAATCTATAATCTTGCCAGCCCATACAATGGGAATTAAATTTCTCTTAAGTATTCTAGAGTTTTATCTTGTATTCTTGCAGATAAGTTTGGAGAATTCCTCTTTGCTTCATTGAAAGATTCATTTATGTATGAATAAATGGGTCAAGCTTGAAGCATCAGAATTGCAGAAAGTGGCAAGTTACCACAACATGGTGATAAGTTTTATTCCAAAAAAAAAGCCACAAACTATATAATGATTGAAGACAATTAAGTTCTTCTGGTGACTGATTGACACAGTGCATCAATTTTTCCTGTAATAGTTTTTGATGGAACAGAAAACTAAGAAGCATGAGATGCCGAAGGATGAGCTATTAAGTGTACGAGCATAGAAGGATGGGTTTTTTCATGTGATCGAAACCCAACAACTTGATGCCAAGGTCGTCCAAATGTTGGCATCAATAATATTAATTATAATTTTTTAAAGAAAAAATTAATTTTTGATTTTTGATTTTATTTTAATAAATGACATAATAAAACATGAATTTTGATTCTAAAATTTAAAAAATTTGATATTCGATTTTTAATTAAATATTTTAAATTTGAAAAGTCTAAGTGTTATTAGAGGTGCAACTTGGGGGGCTAATCGGATTTCAATCCAAAAAAATTAGGCCTGTGGCTAAGGTTTTTAATACTTGGATTAGACTTGAGTCAAAAAAATCTAACCGAATTCAATTTGGGCGGGCCTCGGGTTACCGAGTTGAACCCGAATATTAAATACATTTTTAAGTGTAGGGTTAATCTGTTCTGAAGACTTCATTGTGTGCACCTCCCTCATTCATTATTTAAGCAGTGAACTTTATGTTTGTATAATGATTCTGGTTGTGTTTATTTGTGTTCTGTATAGTTGTTGTTGCATTATCTTAAACATTGAGTTTTTAATATTATGATTTTTATGTTAAAACTTGATTGAAATTGTTAGTTGTTAATTTAGGTGAATATTATGTAATATATGCATCAGATTTGGAATGACAAGTCTATTTTGGTCTCAATTCGAATTTAACCTGTAAAGTAGCCCGAAATTAGTAACCCGAGCCAGCCCGAATTAAACTCGGGCAATACTCAGGTTGAGTCCCTCAACCCGAGGTAGGGTTTAGATTAGAGTTGGATATTATATATCTAGAATTGGATTAGGATTGACTGTCCAACCCGCTCGAGTTGCACCCCTAAGTGTTATATGCGACAAAACTTCAAACGATTTAGGTATAATTTATTAATAAATATACTAATAGACATTGACGGCAGGGGTCTAGGTATTACTCGCGTATAAACTTCAGAACGTCTGTATATAATATTTTAAATGTCAAGAGATCTAAGTGATTAAGTGAAAAATATTAGGAGATGACGTGTAATTTTTCATAAGTTTTAAGAGGAAATTTCCTCTTTTATGGTGATCCCATGTCGTTTATTGCTGGTTGGGTCTCGGTTAATTCTCTCGGACCCTTCCAGCCCGGCCCAGCCTCTGACGAACTGGTCTTCAAAGCAAGCCTCTTGTGCAGTGGTTGTGGTGAGAGATAATTCTGGGCGGGGTTGATGGTAGAGCAATGCAGATCCCTTTGTCTCTAGTCTCCACTCAGAAGCTGTAGCAGTACGCGAAGCTTGCCTTATGGCTGCTGGTCTACAGCTCCACCATGCCATTATCGAAAATGACTGCAAGGTGCTAATACAACTATGCAAGCGAGAAGGAGAACCTCCATGGGAAATCTCAGCCTTCCTGGGAGATATTAAGTCAATTGGTTGTTCTTATAGCTTAAGCTTTGTTTTTAGACCTCGATCTTCTAATCAGATAGCTCACTGGGTTGCTAGACCTAGTATCATTAGGTCTCTTCCTTCGTTTTGGGTACATAACCCATCAAGTGAGTTGAGCGAGTAACTTAGATCTGATTGTAATTCTTCTGCTTATTAATGAAACTTTTCTCTTTGGTTCAAATAAAAAAAAAAAGTAATTTTCTATTGACCTGTTACAGTACCATTAACCCCATCTAGATCACTTCAATTAATACCACCTGGTAGGTGGGATTAGTCGGGCCACCAAAAATATAAACCTCAAATTTATCATTATAACCCTCTCAGGTGAATGGAATGGATGGTAAACAGGTCTATTTGTAATAAGAGATGTGACATAATAGATATTTTTTAGTGGGTCTCACAATAAAATATATTGCTCAAACAAACACGAGATATAATTGCCTTAATTTTTATGTTCGGTATTATTTTTCCCGTTTACCGAAAGTATATAGATTACATTAGCCAATCCCACAAATAGAGATCCCCAAACAAATCCACCCAAGAACTTTTTCTGGTGACTGTTGGACACAGCTCCAAGGGCGAAGTCAACTTTGTTTGTCAATTTGTGGTTAAAAAGTCTCTCTTTCACACTTGTGGATAGAAATATACACCATAAACTAGACGTTGGAACAAGGCCATATCCTTTCTTAAGACTCTACTAGTTTAGTGTGTAATGAATTTCCTCTTTCATCTACCAGCAATTGCCGCCGGCCTTTTAGCTTTGCTGTTGGTCTACAATCTCTGGAAGGCAAGGATTCGTAATAACAATAAGGGCAAGTCTCCCCCGGAACCATCAGGTGCTTGGCCTGTAATAGGCCACCTCCATCTACTAGGTGGCGAAAAAACAGTTTCCAGGACCTTAGGAGCCATCGCCGATAAATATGGTCCAATCTTCACAATCCGCCTTGGGATGGACCGTGCACTTGTAATTAGCAACTGGGAGGCCGTCAAGGAATGCTTCACTACCAACGATAGAGCCTTTGGTGCACGCCCAGTTTCTTCAGCAGGGAAGTACCTTGGTTACAACTATGCAGGCTTTGGTTTTGTATCTTGCGGTCCATTCTGGCGAGAGATGCGTAAGCTAGCACTGCTAGAAGTGCTATCAGGTCGCAGGCTTGAGGCACTCAAGCATGTTCGGGTATCCGAGATAGTTACATCTATCAAATATTTGTACTCAATTTCCTCCAGGAATGGAGAGAAACCCGCAGAGGTTGAAATCAGTAAGTGGATTGAAGAGTTGACTTTCAATATAATTGTAAGGATGATTGCTGGTAAGAGGTATTTGGGTGGTGNTGTAATAAGAGATGTGACATAATAGATATTTTTTAGTGGGTCTCACAATAAAATATATTGCTCAAACAAACACGAGATATAATTGCCTTAATTTTTATGTTCGGTATTATTTTTCCCGTTTACCGAAAGTATATAGATTACATTAGCCAATCCCACAAATAGAGATCCCCAAACAAATCCACCCAAGAACTTTTTCTGGTGACTGTTGGACACAGCTCCAAGGGCGAAGTCAACTTTGTTTGTCAATTTGTGGTTAAAAAGTCTCTCTTTCACACTTGTGGATAGAAATATACACCATAAACTAGACGTTGGAACAAGGCCATATCCTTTCTTAAGACTCTACTAGTTTAGTGTGTAATGAATTTCCTCTTTCATCTACCAGCAATTGCCGCCGGCCTTTTAGCTTTGCTGTTGGTCTACAATCTCTGGAAGGCAAGGATTCGTAATAACAATAAGGGCAAGTCTCCCCCGGAACCATCAGGTGCTTGGCCTGTAATAGGCCACCTCCATCTACTAGGTGGCGAAAAAACAGTTTCCAGGACCTTAGGAGCCATCGCCGATAAATATGGTCCAATCTTCACAATCCGCCTTGGGATGGACCGTGCACTTGTAATTAGCAACTGGGAGGCCGTCAAGGAATGCTTCACTACCAACGATAGAGCCTTTGGTGCACGCCCAGTTTCTTCAGCAGGGAAGTACCTTGGTTACAACTATGCAGGCTTTGGTTTTGTATCTTGCGGTCCATTCTGGCGAGAGATGCGTAAGCTAGCACTGCTAGAAGTGCTATCAGGTCGCAGGCTTGAGGCACTCAAGCATGTTCGGGTATCCGAGATAGTTACATCTATCAAATATTTGTACTCAATTTCCTCCAGGAATGGAGAGAAACCCGCAGAGGTTGTAATCAGTAAGTGGATTGAAGAGTTGACTTTCAATATAATTGTAAGGATGATTGCTGGTAAGAGGTATTTGGGTGGGGTTACAAATGATGTAGAAGATGAAGCAGCAAGGCATTTTAGAAGGGTCATCAAGGAATTCATGTATGTATCTGGACAATTTGTTCTCTCTGATGCAATTCCATTTCCGTTACTAAGATGGATAGATTGGAAAGGCCTTATTAAGTCCATGAAGCGTATTTCCGAGGAATTGGATTCCATTGTCGACGTTTGGATTCAAGAGCATATCCAAAAAAGACTACTCGACAGTGAGCCTGCAGGCGATGAGCAGCAGGATTTCATCGACGTGTTGCTTTCAGTACTCGATGATCAATTCATGTATGGTCATAAGCGTGAAACTATTATCAAGGCAACAATACTGGTATGTCTTCTAATACAACTGCGTCGTTGAGGGTTTTCTTTTCTTTTATTTTTTTGGTTATCTGATCATCATTGAATGATTAAGTAGTTGGATGAGAGGCAGAGGACCACGGCTTCTCTAATTCTTTTAAGTTAGTCTATCTAGCCGACACATACGGTCTATCTTGCTAACGTTATGATGCTTCTAGTGAATACGAGAGAGAGAGAAAGAGGGTAATTAACCCGTAAAAATAACTTCATATTAGGTGCCCTTTGGTGCATTGATGACAACGGCTGTTGCCAAAAAAAATCTAGCCTATGACGTCATAAATGACACAATCCATGATACCATTCAAGGTACCACAAAAGTCTCAATGGTGGGTGGATGAGACTTCCCACTCATAGATTTTAGTGATCTTTTCTTTAAAGAAACAGTAAGAAACAACTAAATACGTGGAGGAAGAATAGTCAAATTGCTGGTGTCCATCAACAGCATCATTAATGTACTGAAATGGCTTCTTTTTAGTTTAGAAATGTTGGATAATAGATAGTCTAAGTGTCGTGCAATGCACCTACAAGTCTCCAAGTTCCCCTTTAAGCAAACTAGTCAGCTGAATTAATATATTCTGCAGATTGATCAATCATTCAGTAGAAAAGGAAAATAGTAAGACTCTGGACAATTTGGGTGCTTCGGAAATTATTTTTTGAGCCAAAAATACAGAGAGAATTGAATCTTATCGATATAATGGAGGCCTGGGACTGAATCCCCTATAGATTTTGGAGGCCCTTTTTTTTTCAATACTCTACAACCTCTGATTTTTTTATCAGAACTTTTCCACCCGCAGAATCTAATTTTAGCAGGCTCCGATACCACAGCAAACAACTTGACTTGGCTCCTGTCCATATTGTTGAACAATAGGCACGTGATGAAGCGTGCCCAAGAAGAGATAGAGATCAAAGTTGGCAAAAACAAATGGGTAGAAGAATCAGATATCAATAATTTGGTCTACCTTCAAGCCATAGTTAAAGAAACATTGCGCCTATACCCACCAGGCCCTCTATCAGTGCCACATGAAGCCATGGAAGACTGTAATGTGGGTGGCTATCACATTCCAAAGGGCACTCGTTTGTTAGTCAATGTGTGGAAGCTGCACCGAGACCCTCGGATTTGGTCAGACCCCGAGACATTTATGCCAGAGAGGTTTTTGACAAACCACACAGAGGTAGATGTTGGTGGTCAGCAGTTTGAGTACACCCCATTTGGGTCTGGTAGACGATCTTGCCCGGGGATGACATTTGCTATGCAAGTGACACACTTGACACTTGCTCGGTTACTTCAAGGTTTCGACTTTAAGACACCAGCAGACGCCCCAGTGGACATGACTGAAGGCCTAGGTATTACCTTGCCTAAGGCCACTCCGGTACATGTTCTGATCACCCCTCGTCTTTCTTCTGAGCTCTATGGATAGTAGAACTAAAGGAAAAACAACTAGCTCTCGAGCTGGTCATGTATATATATATATATATAAGATATGGCTGCATATTGTGAATGGCTTTGTGTTAAATCTACAATGATGCCAGCTCCATGTAAATTGAAAATAAGTTTCTGTTGGGTTTCCTACAGAGAAGTTGAAGAATCTCTCATTCCTTCATGGATTTTAAAGAGGAATCTACATTGTCAATGATATCTTTCTTGGCTGTCCATGTTAGGACAGTCTTGCTAGATTTTAATAACAGATTACTTACCGGAAAACAAAAAAAAAAACAGAGATTAGTAATAGTATTCTTACTCTGCTACTGTGCTCATTCCACCAATTGGGTTAAAGGCCACAGAAATCCGCTAAACACAACTATACACCATACGAATTTGAATGTGCACAACCATAAATGAGTCGGACATTGATTAAATAAATTTTAACTAGACAAGATAAAATTTGACATAATACATCTTATTGTCACCCTAATTAGTACAAAAAGAGGTTTGTCAATTGCCTTGTCTTTTTCTCTTTGTTTGTTGGTTGATTTAATATAGCCACCACAGTAGAATTACCAAATAACACAATAGAAAATTTTGGAGTTTGTAGTAAAACTTATTGTGTGCAAGTATTTTCCTCTCAAACTTGGTATGTAGTCGTTAATGGGGAAAGGGGATTGGGGATCCAAACCATTGCCACATGTGGGTGGTACGCCCCCGGTTCCCTATCCCACAAAATGTCTAACTTTTTTGCGTTTGTGTTTGGAAAGCAGAAGAAATAGTGTTGAATATCTCACTTGGGCCTATTCAAGGCCCAATTTAAAACAATAGCGTTTTACTATAGATTTTTTATGGGTCGGTACTTAGGTTGTATTTGTTAAAACTGAAAATTGAATTACGAAAATTGAAAGGTGAACTTGGATGCTGAATTTGTGTATTGTTTGGTATCTACAAAAATTTAAGGACTAAATTAAACCAAAGTATTTGTTAACTACACAGAGCTGACGTCTGAAAATAAATTAATTTTCAATTTTACCCTTATATTATTTAATTTTAAAATATTTATAAAATATAATTTTATCTAATAAAAAATGATAATATATTAAATCAATTTAATTCATAACATAAAACATAATTACTATTATCATATTGTAGTCTATATTTAACAAACATGATAATAAAATTAATTTAAGTTAAATTAATCACTTATAGCTACCAATTGTCATAAATTTTAAAAATTACAACTAGGATACAAATAAATAAATAATCGAATTAAAAAAATAAATAAATTAAATCTCATTAATAATATATGTGTGTGTATGTGTGCAACTTGTGCTTCGGGTGTGTGTGCAATACTTGTTTGTGTGTGCATGTGTGGGTGTGGGTGTGGGTGTGTGTCTGTGCGTGCACACAATGAATGTGTGTGTGTTTCAGTATATTTATTTGCAGCAGACAAGCGAAAAAAAAAAAAAAGAAGAAAAAGACTATTGACAAGGAGGATAGCTAGGCTAAGGGTTTTAGAGATAGAGTTTTATATGATTGTAAAGTATTTCGAGGTATAATTGTCATACTATTAAAGATGATTTTATTGAACGTTTTCTTCTTTTAGAATTAAGTAAGAGATCTTCTACTTAATATTGTAACTTATTTTAAAATAACACTTAATATATTAAGAAAGTTAAAATTTTAGTTATCAAATGAGCTTAATTAATAAGTGTCAAATATATTTATTTTAAGTGTTGAATTTGGTTAATAAACACACCTTTAATTTACTACTTAATTGTAAAAAGGTACTAGTACAAAATATTTTATATAGAAATATTTTTTTTGTTATGACAAAAATACCCATAAGGGAACAATTACCAAGCATAAAAAGTGAATAAAAAAATTGTCATAAATCATATAACAATCTCATTAAATTCGGCATCTCCTATATCCCTCAAAATATGAGTTTTCAAATTTTAAAAAAAAATTGCTACAAAATCTTTTATTTTTCAACAAAAAAAAAACACAAATGTTGAAGCACCATTGAAGACTGATCTTCCTTGTGCTCCGATTCAAATTGTTGATAATGTGACATTATAGTGTAACACTTTGTCAATTTTGCTACGGGGGCAAATGTAGCACCAAAATTACGACCTGGTACCTGAGTAAAGCACTTCGCCACAAGCCTAGCCTTGTGACAATCAATAGTACCATCCGCAAGAAACTTCAGGGTGTAAACCCAACGACAGTCAATAGGCTTCACCTCTAAAGGTAAAAATACAAGATCTCATGTATAATTATGCTAAAGAGCATTCATCTCCGTTTGTATGGCAAGAACCCACTAGGGCTCCCACATAACCTCTGAAACTGAATGAGGAATCGGCGTATTTGATAAGACCATACTATAAGCTTGAAATGTAGGAGAAAGATCACCATAAGAAATATAAGTAGAGATCAGATATAAAGTCTTGACGGTCCAACCATACGAACAATTGGACGGCGATCACTCTGTGGATAACGACGCCCTAAATCATCATCCTCCACTGACAATGTCTCATTAGGGAAAGTAACTAGCTCAATACCTGCAATCTCATCAGTACTAACAATAGGTGCATCAATATGCTCAACAAACTAAGAAGTATTACCTACATCGTCTGAGGTAGAGAGAACATCAACCGGGGGATGAGAGCGGGGGCGATGAGCATAAACCTGCAAAGGAAGATAGACTGGTGTCTTTGTACTGACAGGGACAAGTGGCTTTGGAGGAGGAGAGACTAAGGACTCTGTAGTGATAATGATCAATGGCTCTGACTCCTGTGGTAACGAAAAATCAAAAGGGAGTATCATCAATTGTAGGGGCAGAAACAGGCGTGGAACAAAAAATAAGGAATGTGCTCAATAAAAGTAACATCTAGACTGTGATACATACGGCGTTTGACAAGATCTTAACACTGATACCCCTTAGATTGATGATAATAACCCACAAAGACACAACGAATCGCTTTATCATCAAGCTTATGGCGAGTAAGAGACCGATTTTGAACAAAATATGTGTAGCCAAAAACATGAGGAGGGATCGAAAAAAGTGTCCGCTCAGTGAATAATCTCTAAGCATATAACGTACGATCCCTATTATACTCCTATTTTTCCTTTCAGCAACTCTATTTTGCTCAGGAGTATATGGATAAGTGAGTTGCTGAAGAATACCCTTAGAGGAAATGTGAGACACTAAGGGCATCAAACACATATTTTTTGGCATTATCATAAAACGAAGAGCACGAATAATGACATCGAATTGTATCTTAATCATCTGGAGAAATTGAGTGATGATAGGGGGTACTTCAGACTTCTTATACAAAAGGTAAACCCAAGTATAACGGGTATAGTCATCTATAAATGTCACATAGTATCGAGCACCTGACAAAGCAGTAATAGGAGAGGGTCACCAAATATCAGAGTGTATTAGGTCAAATGGCTTGGATGATTGGTGTATGCGAGAAAAATAACTGGTCCGAACATGTTTCGATAGAAAACATATAACACAGTCAAGTTTACCACCAACACAAGTATTGCTCAAAGTAGGAAATAACATA